CTTCCTGAACCTGGACAGGTGAGTGTTGGCCTGCTCCTCCTGTGCAGCAGTCAAAGACCTTATCAGTTCAAGTTGGCATTTTCATAAATGGATTTATAGATAATTACCATTGAGAATTTCACAATCATCTGGACAACATTTTTACTTTTATATCAGTAAAGATTTTTAGGAAAGACATAAAATTAGAACTGATTCAGGGTAACTGTCTTTTTTAATACAAATATGAACTTCTTAATGTTATTTAATAGTCTAGATAAAAAAAGATCAATCCATGAACACATTCATAAAGCATTATAAACATGCCTATACGTATATATATATTTATAAAAAGGCATAACACATTATAGCCATGTTTATTATGCATTATGAATGCTTTATGAAGCTCTCATCTATAATGCACTATAGATACCTTCATAATGCAGTACAACATGTCTTTAATTCTTTCACCAACCATTATAATTCATTATGATGGTATCTATAGTCCATTATAGATAAGAGCTTCATTGGAGCTTATGAAGCATTATAATTGATATTATAATCAGGGGTGGACATAACTGGTACGCAAGTACACACTCACCTTTAAAAGCAATACGTGCAGCAATTGATTGTTGTAATGGCGCAAATTCATACTTATTTTATGTGCATTTTCGCTGATTTGACAAGAAATTATCGGGTATTTTAACCAATATATGCTAGTTCCTACTTCATTTGCGGTATAAAGGTTACAATGCATGGTAATTTCTTGTCATATCAGCACAAATGCAGACTTACAAGTTGCAGATTAAACTAATTGTAATTGTTATAGACTTAAAATACAAATCAGCTCAGAAATAATGTCTTAGTTCAAGGTGCAGTGGAAATAGAGATTCATATAAAATGCAAAAATGATTTATTCATCCCCCCCAGCCCCTCCCCCCAAAAAAAAGAAATCGGAGTGTCCTGGTTTTCTGCAAATCAAAGGTGGCAACCCTAGTCATAACCCGCTGTATTCAACAAATGTCTGGCCACCGGTGATGATTCATTTCTATTGGAAATGGAGTATATTCTGATTCCTAGTTGACGTTTAACCTTTCCGCATACTATAACTCACACGGGCATGCAGTAACAGCAAATATACAACAGATGTGGATAGACATCTGATTACCTGATTATCCTCTTACCTTAGGCAATTTATTCATATAGGGGTGTATAAAACATTTTTTCTGTAAGTATGTTATTTCAAAAGACACAATTAAAATATTTCAAGTTGGCCTCCAGTATCCTGTGGGGCAGGTAATGTACAGTATAAGGGTAGGGGAATTAGAGTGTACAAGGCAGTCTCTCATAATTGAAGCTCGTTTGTAGCTAAAACGTGGCAGATCTCAGAAGACTTGTCTCACATTTGGGTCACTATTTAAGATATGATAGTGGCGCAGCACAATATTTTTCAAAGTATTAGAGAAATGGCCAAAGGTGTAAACAAATATGATGCAGTTATTATAGCTATTGATCCGTGTTACGCAGTTCATCAGTTTGGAGCGTTAAATATTATGTACTCGATCTAAGTAGTCCTGAACTAATGCTTTACTATAACCCTTCCTCAAGAATTTCGCACACAACTCTCCAGCTCGCACCTCAAACACATCATCCCTGTCACAAATACGTCACACCCTCACTATATGGAAGACTACGTTTAAAGGTGCAGGATGAAAACTACGAAAATCTAGGAAAGCAATTCTGTCTGTTTCCTTGCAGTAAATGTCTGTGCAGCCGATTGTCTGTTTTCCACTAATATATCCAAAAATGATATAACATTATTGTCAAAGTAAAAAGTAAATCTTATGGAAGGCAGGCTGGAATGAATATAGTCATACAATTGCTTCAACTGCACTTCAGGTCCATTCCATATGAAAAAGATATAAATATATTTGTACCACACCATGAAATATTGACAGAAAAGGTTAACTGAATAAATTAAATCCTCTTTAAATTTACTCATGAACAAATTGGCATAATTGCATGCCATAAGTGAACCCATGGCTGTGGCCTGAATTTGCAAAAAATATTTGTCCTGAAACATAAAATAATTTTTGGTAAGGACATCACGAGTAAGAGAAAGTAAAAATCCAGAATGTAGCACGTTGGATTTATGCAGGTAATAATCTAATTCTTCTAATCTCACTTCATGTGGAATGTTCCTGTAGAGACTGGTAGCATCCATTGTGCATGAAAACACCAACGAATGCACCTCTTTAAACTCATTCAATTCATGAAAGAAGTTAGAAGTCAGGGCAGGTGATAGACCGAGTCCTTAAAATAATAATTTTGCCTGGTGGATTGACCAAACTTTTATGGATTTTTGGTAAATTACTGGTCTGACCGGATACTTCTGGAGCAAAAAGTTACACTCATTGTAATCAATCACCTTATCACATTGTGCTGTTTTTAATTTCGACTTTATCTCCTCGCTAAATTTAAAAATAAGATCAAAAGGTGGGTGCTTGTATGCAGAACCATCCATGAGATGCCTTTCGATTTGGTTAAGGTAAGATGATACCCTGCATACTGAAGAAAGCATTACGTCAAAACAAGTCTGTGTTGTGTGCAGGCATAATAAAATGGTATTGAAGTAAAATGTGACCTCTTTTTGTTATAATTGATTGATTCTCTTATTGCGGTCCAGCACTCGATTGTGCTATAGTACTAGGAGTGAAGCCCGTTCTTCTGTATCATATATTTTATTTCTTGTCATGCCATCCAGATCTTCTTCTGGTTCTTTCCATCGGATTGCAAGTAAAGCATGGGTCTCTTCATTTGTCCACACATATATTACCATAACTTTATTATTTTTTCTGAGTTGGTAACTTTTTACAAGACAGCGGTTGTATTGTGTTTCAGAGGCAGGTTATTTGCATAACTAATCGACAGTGAACACATTTAATAAACAATCATTTATAAACATTCTAATGAAACATTTGATGTTAAATGTGGCCAAACAGTATCAAAACAGTACCTCAGCTGGTTTGGCACTTTGGGTACTGGAACTTCTGGTACAGGTATCAGAAGTCAATGGGAAAGAGAAAGTCCTGAAAGTACCGTACCAAAAGTACGGTACATGGTGCAGTGGAAAAATGCCCTAATACAAATTTAGTGAAATTCATTGTTTAGTTCTGCAATTTATAAATATGCAACGAAAATTTGACTTACAGCTTCCTCAGCCTGTCTCTTGTAGGACTTCACTTTCAGCTGCAGCTTGTCCACCAGATCCTGCAGTCTGGTCACATTCTTCTTGTCCTCCTCACTCTTTAAGGGGGAAGGACCACAAAATTCAGTAACATTAACAAGTTTTCTCCATTTTGTGACATTTTTATAAAAACGCATAAAGTCCTACCTGGTAGGTAAGCTCCTTGACCCTTCTCTCATATTTACGGACACCTTTAATAGCTTCAGCTCCACGTCTCTGTTCAGTATCAACCTCAGCTTCTAGCTCATGTACCTTAAACACAGGAATTCAGCTGTCAGACATGGCTGAAATGATGGTCTGAAATTTGTAGTCATAAATGTGAATGCAGTCAATATATAGTCTTTTTAAGAGAACATAACATGCTAAGAATTACATGAACTGCAAGGTGACATTAATAGTGATAATATATCATGATGCTGGGTGATAAGTAAGCATATCTAAATAATGTCCACTAAATATAGTTTATTCTGAATAAGTGAAATTCAGCTACATTTATGCAGTATTTTTTCCACGGTAAATCCTAAAGGCAAATAATTAAATCTGTAGACTGTTGCTTTCTTCCTTAACAAATTGCATCATTTGGTGTTTTGTTGATGTTGCGAAATACTTTAATTGTTCGGTTGTCCTGAAATATGGTGACAAGGATGGCCATAGCATATACTGTAGGTAACACTGTTTCAGCCTCATCAATACATTCAGTGATCACTTGTGTCCTGTTGGCGAGGACATCAGCCAATAACAGGACATAAATGCTTTACCACATGATAAATATTAACAGTAATAACTAGAATTCCAGTATTAATGAAAAAATAGATCCAGTGGCTGACCCTGGCTTCCAGTTTCTGGAGCTGTTTCTTTCCACCCTTCATGGCCAGGCTCTCAGCCTCATCAAGACGATGCTGCAGGTCCTTCACTGTGACCTCGAGGTTCTTCTTCATCCTCTCCAGGTGGGCGCTGGTGTCCTGCTCCTTCTTCAGCTCCTCTGCCATCATGGCAGCCTGAAAGGTTCATTCGCAATTTTTGTTTATACGAATGATGTTGGTTCTGGATATTCTACTTCAGTACGATCTCAAAGTAATTTTTGTTTTAATACATGACTCACATCAGTAATGGCCTTCTTGGCCTTCTCCTCTGCATTTCTGGCTTCCTGAATGGCATCGTCCACCTCACCCTGGACCTGAACAAGGTCACCTTCAAGCTTCTTCTTGGTGTTAATCAGGCTGGTGTTCTGAAAGACATTGATTTATTTTTAATATTAATACAGGTGCAAATAATTGGAGCAATGTCTCCAGGGAGATCATGCATAACTTTTGATATTTTAAACATACCTGGGAGTGCAGCAGTCCAACACGCTCACTGGCATCGACCAGCTCCTGCTCGGCCACTTTGCGGCCTCTCTCTGTCTGCTCCAGAGCGGCCCTCAGCTCCTCAATCTCAGCCAGCATCAGAGTGTTCCTGCGCTCTACCATGGCAACCTGCTCCTTCATGTCCTCCTGTCCCCTGACTGCTTCATCAAGGTGCAGTTGGGCATCCTGTAGAATAACATGACTTCCATTATCTTCTTATTCAGAGATACACTCTCCCCTTTTATTGTCAGGATAACTGTATACATACCTTAAGCTGTCCCTGGACATTTCTCAGTTGTTTCTGGGCCTCAGCAGCCTGACGGTTGGCATGGCTGAGCTGAATCTCCATTTCATTGAGGTCTCCCTCCATCTTCTTCTTAACCCTCAGAGAATCATTTCTGCTCCTGACTTCTGCATCCAAAGTGCTCTGCATGGAATCAATGACCCTCTGGCTGTTCCTCTTGATCTGCTCCATCTCTTCATCTTTCTCAGCCAGCTTCCTGTCAATTTCACCCTTGACCTGGTTGAGCTCCAGATGGACACGTAGGATCTTGGACTCCTCATGCTCCAGTGTACCCTGTGAAGGTAAATGATAAAAAATGCAAATAATGCATTTTAATTATAAATTATGGGTGTGATTACCTCGGCTTCCTCTAGAGCAGTCTGGATTTCTGACTTCTCTATCTCCACTGTCTTCTTGGCCTTCTCCAGCTCATGAATGGTCTTTCCAATGTCACCGATTTGTTCAGTCAGGTCTGAGATCTCCTCTGAAGTGTAAATTAGTATTCATTATATGGGAACATTTCATATTTCATTTGTGTACTGGACAGAATGAGTGAACATACGCTGCAGGTTCCTGTTCTCTCTCTTCATGGTCTCCATGTGGTCCAGAGTTTCCTCATAGGAGTTCTTCATCTTGAACAGTTCAGTACTGAGAGAACGAGCCTCTTTCTGAGACCCTTCCAGCTCTGCCTGACTTTCCTCATGTTTCTGCTTCCATTCTGCCAGGACCTGGAAACATTCAAGACACTTGGAGTAGTTTGAGATTTTAGATTATGCTCTTTAGAAACCTTAACATCCCTGGAAGTGACACTGTGAAGATGGTAAGATAGAATAATAATGCAGGTTCCTAATAACTCCACAACTAGGAGGTATTGCACCCATGTGACGTATGGCGTGCTATATAATGAGAGAACTGCAGTTTGGATTTTTATTTCATTTGTGTACTTTTAATGTGTATATATATTTACCTTATCAAAGTTCCTTTGCTTCTTGTCTAGATTGGCAGCTAATGCATTTGCTCGTTCTACATCGATCATGAGGTCCTCCACCTCACCCTGCAGTCTCTGTTTGGTCTTCTCCAGAGAAGCACATTTGGCATTGACAGCCTCAATAGATTCCTCTGCATCCTGGAGACGCTGAGCAAGCTTTTTCCTGTGGAGAGTGAAATTTTAGTTCCAGCTGAATTATTTTTACATTTATTTATGGAGTTAAGTGAAAATATAGAATCAGTGTAGTTACTTGGCCTCCTCAAGCTCCTCAGTACGCTGGATGGCATCAGTCTCATATTTGGTCCTCCACTGAGCCACCTCACTGTTGGCCTTGGACATTCCACGCTGCAGTTCAGCCTTGGCCTCCTGCTCCTCCTCATATTGCTCTCTGAGGAGGTCACAGTCATGGTGTGCCGATTGCAGAGCGTGGGCCAGGGCATTCTTTGCCTAAAAATTGATGAGTTTCATTTTAACTGAAAATATAGTGTGTACACTTATAACAAGCTTTGAGGTTAGGATTGAGGATAGGAGTTATTCTCAGTTTTAAATATTGAAGTACTCAATACTTTAGCAACATATTTACATAAATAAAAGTGTGTACTTCTCTTATCCTCTCATAAATTTTAAAGTAATTATATAATGCTTGGAAATTTCTGTGTTCATTTTAAAAAAATATTCTTGTCTAGATTTCTGCTTACCTTGACTTCCTCTTCAACATGCCTCTTGAGCTCCTCAATCTGCTGTGTGTAGGCCTGTTTACCTCTAGTCAGCTGGGAAACAAGAGCTTCTTTCTCCTCAAGCTGACGACTGAACTCGGCTACAAAAACATGTTATTTTACACACACACATACACACACACATATATATAATTTTTGGAAAAAAATTAAGAAATTCCTGTTTTACATACCATTCTCTGTTTGAAGTCTGGCTTTCTGTGCACTCATATCATTTAACTGACGAATGTTTTCATCATTCTTTGTCTTGAGTTCATTTAGTTGATCTTCAAGGGTGTGGCACAATTTCTCCAGGTTGGCCTGTCAGAAATTGTTTTATAGAAATGGGGGATATTCTCA